AAAGCAGAGTGGCGGGTATTCATCACTGCTGTAGAGTTGAAATTGTCACTGCGTATCTGCAGATTTTTACACTCACTTTTAACTCCACTGATAGAGCAACTTTACTCTCAAAAATGTTGAAAATACTCTATCTGGGTTAAAATAACTTTACTCTGAAATATTAACACCCCCTTTTTTACTGTGTATATCCTGAAGGAGTCCCTGATAGTCATAACATCTCACATCTGCTTGATTCACACTATAGGGCCGACCTGAACTATACCCTGCTGGCTCTGATATTTTATTTTCACATTGTCCTGTCCTGCAGAGTTACAGTAACTATAGTGGATGCGTAACCAATTCAGCCCAGTACAGCTTGGCTTGGCTGGGCACAGTTTGGCTCAGTTCAGATTGGCTCAGTTCAGTTTGGCTCAGTAGTGTGAAATAGATACAATAATGGAAGCCATTGTGGACATTGCTCTGTTTTAACTGATGCCATCTGGGTAACCTGTTCTTATCACTTCTACCAAGTTCCCAGCTGTCCTCACAAAACCAGGCCTGCTGAAAAGGACTCTGAGTTAAGGCCTACAATTGAAATAACAAAACATGATCTGGAGGTAGTCAAGTCAGAGATTATACCTGTCGTATACACCCCAAATATCTCTGGCAGTTTAAGTGCTCCCTTCAAAAAGTCAAAAAACATTTTACCTCAGGAATTCATCTTTAGAGGTGATTATCCTTTTCCAAATAACCAGCCGTTATAACTGGAATTCTAAACTATCCTCACAAAACCCTTACAGAAAAACAACATGAACTTCATGTGAACACGTGATCTTATGTGAAGTTAATGTGATAGCATGTGACAACATGTAACGCAACATGTGATAACATAAAACTACACATGTGAAAACGTGATCACATGTGAAGTGTTCCAAAAACACATTTTCACATGATTTCACGTGAAATTTCATGTGAAATCAAATGATTTTGCATGTGAAATCTTGTAGTTTCTCTGTAAGGGAATACAAGGCCAAATCCTACTGTAACTTCATATCCATGAATAACTTGAATTCTCATGTCTACCATTGACCCAAATACATGGTTTACATGAAAGTCTGGGTTAACGCGTGTAAATTCAGCCCACAGATAGGATTCAGCCCACAGGTATCAAATTGTTCAGTAGTGAAATAATCACTGGCACCATGATAGGCCTACTCAATTTATTGACGGACAGTACAAGCAGAAAATAGAAAATGTAATGATAAAATGTAATTTGCATTAACAAAGTTTAAACAAATGTGAAAGGAAAGGAACATATATATATAAAATAATAAATACTGTGAAAACTAAATGTAAGTGACATTTACATTTGCTTTCTCAGCTGTTCCCAAGTGTAATGTAGGTTGAGGAATGTGGTCATGTTCCTGTTACCTTGGTCTAATGCAGATTATGTGTCCGAAATGGCACCCTATTCCCTATATAGTGCACTACTTTTGACCAGAGCTCTGTGAGCCCTGGTCAAAGGTAATGCACTATAAATGGAATAGGATGCAATTTGCAACGCATCCAGATTCTGTGGTCTCACCCACTTCATCTGGGTGGTAATGAATCAGCAAAAGCACTTGGGTGCAGTGGCTTGCGAAAGTATTCACCGCCCTTGGCATTTTTCCTATTTTGTTGCCTTACAACCTGGAATTAAAATGGATTTTGGGGGGATTTGTATCATTTGATTTACACAACATGCCTACCACTTTGAAGATGCAAAATATTTTTTGTAGTGAAACAAACAAGAAATAAGACAAAAAAACAGAAAACTTGAGCATGCATAACTATTCACCCCCCCCAAAGTCAATACTTTGTAGAGCCACCTTTTGCAGCAATTACAGCTTTATGTCTCTATAAGCTTGGCACATCTAGCCACTGGGATCTTTGCCCATTCTTCAAGGCAAAACTGCTCCAGCACCTTCAAGTTGGATGGGTTCCGCTGGTGTACAGCAATCTTTAAGTCATACCACAAATTCTCAATTGGATTGAGGTCTGGGCTTTGACTAGGCCATTCCAAGACATTTAAATGTTTCCCCTTAAACCACTCGAGTGTTGCTTTAGCAGTATGCTTAGGGTCATTGTCCTGCTGGAAGGTGAACCTCCGTCCCAGTCTCAAATATCTGGAAGACTGAAACAGGTTTCCCTCAAGAATTTCCCTGTATTTAGCGCCATCCATCATTCCTTCAATTCTGACCAGTTTCCCTACCGATGAAAAACATCCCCACAGCATGATGCTGCCACCACTATGCTTTACTGTGGATGGTGTTCTCGGGGTGATGAGAGGTGTTGGGTTTGCGCCAGACATAGTGTTTTCCTTGATGGCCAAAAAGCTCAATTTTAGTTTCATCTGACCAGAATACCTTCTTCCATATGTTTGGGGAGTCTCCCACATGGCTTTTGGCGAACACCAAACGTGTTTGCTTATTTTTTTCTTTAAGCAATGGCTTTTTTCTGGCCACTCTTCCGTAAAGCCTAGCTCTGTGGAGTGTACGGCTTAAAGTGGTCCTATGGACAGATACTCCAATCTCCGCTGTGGAGCTTTGCAGCTCCTTCAGGGTTATCTTTGGTTTCTTTGTTGCCTCTCTGATTAATGCCCTCCTTGCCTGGTCCCTGAGTTTTGGTGGGCGGCCCTCCCTTGGCAGGTGTGTTGTGGTGCCATATTCTTTCAATTTTTTTATACTGGATTTAATGGTGCTCCGTGGGATGTTCAAAGTTTCTGATATTTTTTTTGAACCCAACCCTGATCCGTACTCCACAACTTTGTCCCTGACCTGTTTGGAGAGCTCCTTGGTCTTCATGGTGCCGCTTGCTTGGTGGTGCCCCTTGCTTAGTGGTGTTGCAGACTCTGGGGCCTTTCAGAACAGGTGTATATATACTGAGATCATGTGACAGATCATGTGACACTTAGATTGCACACAGGTGGACTTAACTAATTATGTGACTTCTGAAGGTACGAGATCTTATTTAGGGGCTTCATAGCAAAGGGGGTGAATACATACAGTGGGGGAAAAAAGCATTTAGTCAGCCACCAATTGTGCAAGTTCTCCCACTTAAAAAGATGAGAGAGGCCTGTAATTTTCATCATAGGTACACGTCAACTATGACAGACAAATTGAGGGGAAAAAATCCAGAAAATCACATTGTAGGATTTTTTATGAATTTATTTGCAAATTATGGTGGAAAATAAGTATTTGGTCACCTACAAACAAGCAAGATTTCTGGCTCTCACAGACCTGTAACTTCTTCTTTAAGAGGCTCCTCTGTCCTCCACTCGTTACCTATATTAATGGCACCTGTTTGAACTTGTTATCAGTATAAAATACACCTGTCCACAACCTCAAACAGTCACACTCCAAACTCCACTATGGCCAAGACCAAAGAGCTGTCAAAGGACACCAGAAACAAAAATTGTAGACTTGCACAGGCTGGGAAGACTGAATCTGCAATAGGTAAGCAGCTTGGTTTTAAGAAATCAACTGTGGGAGCAATTATTAGGAAATGGAAGACATACAAGACCACTGATAATCTCCCTCAATCTGGGGCTCCACGCAAGATCTCACCCCGTGGGGGTCAAAATGATCACAAGAACGGTGAGCAAAAATCCCAGAACCACACGGGGGGACCTAGTGAATGACCTGCAGAGAGCTAGGACCAAAGTAACAAAGCCTACCATCAGTAACACACTATGCCGCCAGGGACTCAAATCCTGCAGTGCCAGACGTGTCCCCCTGCTTAAGCCAGTACATGTCCAGGCCCGTCTGAAGTTTGCTGGATGTGCATTTGGATGATCCAGAAGAGGATTGGGAGAATGTCATATGGTCAGATGAAACCAAAATATAACTTTTTGGTAAAAACTCAACTCGTCGTGTATGGAGGACAAAGAATGCTGAGTTGCATCCAAAGAACACCATACCTACTGTGAAGCATGGGGGTGGAAACATCATGCTTTGGGGCTGTTTTTCTGCAAAGGGACCAGACGACTGATGCGTGTAAAGGAAAGAATGAATGGGGCCATGTATCGTGAGATTTTGAGTGAAAACCTCCTTCCATCAGCAAGGGCATTGAAGATGAAACGTGGCTGGGTCTTTCAGCATGACAATGATCCCAAACACACGAAGGAGTGGCTTCGTAAGAAGCATTTCAAGGTCCTGGAGTGGCCTAGCCAGTCTCCAGATCTCAACCCCATAGAAAATCTTTGGAGGGAGTTGAAAGTCCGTGTTGCCCAGCGACAGCCCCAAAACAACACTGCTCTAGAGGAGATCTGCATGGAGGAATGGGCCAAAATACCAGCAACAGTGTGTAAAAAACCTTGTGAAGACTTACAGAAAACGTTTGACCTGTGTCATTGCCAACAAAGGGTATATAACAAAGTATTGAGAAACTTTTGTTATTGACCAAATACTTATTTTCCACCATAATTTGCAAATAAATTCATAAAAAATCCTACAATGTGATTTTCGGGATTTTTTTCTTCTCATTTTGTCTGTCATAGTTGACGTGTACCTATGATGAAAATTACAGGCCTCTCTCATCTTTTTAAGTGGGAGAACTTGCACAATTGGTGGCTGACTAAATACTTTTTTTCCCCACTGTATGCACGCACCACTTTTCCATTATTTATTTTTTTGAATTTTTTCAAACAAGTAAAGTTTATTTTGTGCTTGTCCATTACATGAAATCCAAATAAAAATACATTTAAGTTACAGGTTGTAATGCAACAAATAGTAAAAATGCCAAGGGGGATGAAAAGGCACTGTAATGTTCCCCTTCAAGCAGGCCTCAAATAAACTTAAAATCCCTCCTTTCACATTACTTTGAAGAAGGTTTTTTTGTGTGTCACATTTATACGAGTGGATGTATCAGACATTACATTGAATTGTAAAAATAAAAAAAAGTAAATAATGAGAAATAATTATTTTTGTGACAGAAATAAAAAAGATACGAATGTAGAGGCAACCCTGAAACAATGCATAATTTTATCGCCTTGGAAAGGAAAGACTAATTGGTTGACCTATAGATTTAATGCATTATTTTTACTGATTTACCATTAGCCTCATGTAACAAAGGTGAAGCAGAGAGAAAGCTGCAAAGGACCGTCTGGCATGGTGTGTGTTGTTGCGACCTTATGTTCCACATGGAGTGAAGAGGAGTAAGTAGTCCTGTGTGGCTCAGATGGTAAGAGCATTGGTTAGAGGGTTGTGGGTTTGATTCCCGCTGGGGGTCACATATTCTAAAATGTATGCACTGTACTGTAAGTCCTTTTGGATAAAAGCATCTGCTAAATGGCATATATTATTATTATATTATAATTAAGTAAGTAATTTAACACGAGGGGCGCCGCTCACAGGAAGGTCCTGTTCCGGAGAGTGGGTAACATCTCTGTCTCTCTGTCCCAGTCATGGACGTAACTCAGCCTACCCTGGGACCCAGGCGAGGGGGCATACTGATCACAGAAGGCTCCTTTAAGGCTGGGGCCGCAAACCACAGACAGGGAGACATAAAGTGTGCCGTGTTTCAACTTGAACCTTTGGTTGACGTTCATGCCCCTTCGAAGGGTTATGGAGCCCTTTCCTAGCAGGTCATTGTTCCATCTGTTGTCGCGGTCCCACACCTCAAAGTGCAAGGCTCTGTTAAGTAACACAGAGAGTGGGTGAACGAGACAAAGAACTCTAAGTAAGAGCAGTGGGAATACACAATATATTCACAATGCTGGCAAAATGTTATTTTTTTAATAATTTTTTTACTGTTACAAGGTTTTATAGAATAGGGAGCAAAATTAGCAAACTGGAAACTACCCTGGAGATCCCAAAACACCCTTAACATATGTCTTGCTGCTCCACTTATTCCTTTGTACAGGAAGCCTATGCATAGTAACCCTCAAGAGACGGATCTGACTATTTAACAAAAAAAATGAAAAAAATACTTTTCAAATCCACCGTTCCATACTGAATCCTGTAGTTCCAGTAGTGGAAGTCATTGTTCCAGATCACAGGAGTGGAATCGCCTTGCTTTCCATAGAAGACCTTGACGTAGCCGTCTGTCTTAGAGAAGTAGTCGCCCCAGAGCCCCGTAGCTCGGACCACCGTCACATTCATCCTGACCACGTTCCTGTGACCGCTGCACTTACAGACGCAGTCTTTGTTGCGTCTCCCCATCTTGCAAGCAGACGGGCAGGAGGTGTACACAGTGTACTTCTGGATGTAGTCTCTGATGGCATTGCGCAGGTTGGCCTTGAGGATGGGGTTGTCTCTGGCCAGGAAGTGCAGGGAGCTGAGCTGGTAGGAGACCACAGCAGGGACCTTCTTCAGGGACTTCAGCCAGGTTTTGTAGCCAGACTTCTTGTCGGGGTTGAAGAGGATGTCCGCAACCTCGACGTTGCCGCCCTGCACTTCGGTGGCACGGTCCAAGAAGGTGGCTCCGAAGCTTTGGCCTGTCTTGAGTTTTTTGCTCTGGGACTTGCAGTACATGGTCTCAGCGCTGATCGTGACACCGTTGATGGTGCCACTGTCTTCCACCCCTAGACAGTTTCTGACAGAATGGAGGGAGAGGCCGCTCATGGCCACCTTACAGGTGCGTACGGCTGTGGTGGAGTGCACCCGGCCCTCCAGGTGCACCCTGCGGATGTAGTGGGTGCCATAGATGGAGAGGAAGTGGCGGTAGGCGGGGTCGGTTTTGTGAGTCTACATGCTGGGGAGGTTTTTTAGGGAGTCCTGAAACTCCTGGCTCAGGGGAGGTTGGGTTCGTAGGCGGAAGCTAAGGACAGGGAGAGAGGTATGATGAATGAAAACAACTTCAACAACATGGAGAACACCGTTTTTTTCCGTACACATTTTATATAATTAGCTGTTGTTGTTTTTTGGCTTTAGACCACCTCAATTTACATCCTATGACACTAAAATCAAAATCTTGACTCATGTGTAATATTTGCATTTGAATTCATGGCTGGTGAAAGATTACTTATCTTTGGTGGAGTGGCCTCTGGCGAACTGGCAGTCTTGGAGTGTGTGCCTCCAACAGCAACCCCAGCAATGCCCTTGAATCCCAGGCCAACCTTCCAGCTGATGCTGGCAGAGTTAGTGGTCTCCTTCAGAACGGAGCTGCTTGATTCGTACATCTTGCTGCTGATGATCCGACGACATGTCACCTTTGTGCGCCAGTCCATTACAGAGAGTGGCAACTTCTGGACCTGGTTGTTCATCAGAGTGTTGATGCACAGGGTGCAGTTACCGTCGTGCCCATCTACCATGAACTTCTGCACATCCCCACAAAGGCGCCGGAGGTCTGCATCTTGACGATGTCGAAAACCCTCTCCGGCCAGGTTGTGGCGGAGAGGGTTTCGACATCGTCAAGATTGCAGACTCCGGCGCCTTTGTGGTGGAGGTGCAGAAGTTCATGGTAGATGGGCACGACGGTAACTGCACCGTGCATCAACATCTGATGAACACAGGTCCAGAAGTTGCCACTCTCTGTAATGGACTGGCGCAACCAAAGGTGACATGTCGCGGTATCATCAGCAAGCAAGATGTACGAATCAAAGCAGCTCCGTTCTTTGAAGGAGGAACCACTAACCTGCCAGCATCAGCTGACCGGTTGGCCTGGGATTCAATTGGGCATTGCTGGGGTTGCTGTTGGAGGCACACCACTCCAAGACTGCCAGTCGCCAGAGGCCACTCAACAAAAGTAAGAATCTTTCACCAGCCATGAATCAAATGCAAATATTACACATCGAGTCAAGATTTTGATTTTAGTGTCATAGGGTAAAGAGGTGGGTCTACGCCCAAAAAACAACACAGCTAATGATATAAAATGTGTACGGAAAAAAACGGTGTTTCTCATGTTGTTGAGTTGTTTTCATTCATTCATACCTCTCTCCCTGTCCTTAGCTTCCGCCTACGAACAACCTCCCCTGAGCAGGGAGTTTCAGGCCTCCCTAAAAAAACCTTCCCAGATGTAGACTCACAAACCGACCCCGCCTACCGCCACTTCCTCTCCATCTATGGCACCCACTACATCCGCAGGGTGCACTGGAGGGACGGGTGCACTACACACAGCCGTACGCCCTGTAGGTGGCCATGAGCGGCCTCCATCCATTCTGTCAGAAATGTCTAGGGTGGAAGACAGTGGGCACCATCAACGGTGTCACGATCGCGCTGAGACCATGTACTGCCAAGTCCCAGAGCAAAAAACTCAAGACAGGCCAAAAGATTCGGAGCCACCTTCTTGGACCGTGACCGAAGTGCAGGGCGGCAACGGTCGAGGTGCGGACATCCTCTTCAACCCCGGACAAGAAGTCTGGCTGACAAAACCTGGCTGAAGTTCCCTGAAGAAGGTCCCCTGCTGTGGTCTCTACCAGCTCAGCGCCCGCACTTCTGGCCAGAGACAAACCCCATCCTCAAGGCCAACCTGCGCAATGCCATCAAGACTACAATCCGAAGTACACTGTGTACACCTCCTGCCCGTCTGCTTGCCAAAATGGGGAGAACGAAAAAAAGACGGGTCTGGTAAGTGCAGCGTTGGTCACAGGAACGTGGTCAGGAGAATGTGACGGGTCCGAGCTACGGGGCTTGGGGCGACTACTTCTTAAAGACAGACGGCTCCGTCAAGGTCTTCTATGGAAAGCAAGGCGATTCCAATGTGATATGGAACAATGACTTCCACTTACTGGAACTTACAGGATTCAGTATGGAACGAGTGGATTTGAAAAGTATTTTTTTCATTTTTTTTGTTAATAGTAAGATCCGTCTCTGAGGGTTACTATGCATAGGCTTCCTGTACAAAGGAATAAGTGGAGAAGCAAGACATATGTTAAGGTGTTTTGGATCTCCAGGGTAGTTTCCAGTTTGCTAATTCTGCTCCCTCTTCTCTAAACCTGGTTAACAGTTAAAAAATTATGAAAAAAATACATTTTGCCAGCCTTGTGAATATATTGTGTATTCCCATGCTCTTACTAGAGTTGCTTTGTCGCGTCACCCACTCTCGGTACTACAGAAGCCTTGCACTTTGAGGTGTGGGAACCGCGACAACATATGCGAACACGACCTTGATAGGAAAGGGTCCATAAACCTTCGAAGGGGCGTATGACACGTCAACCAAAGGTTCAAGTTGAAACACGGCATTTCATTAGCTCCCGTCTGTGGTTTTGAGGCCCCAGTCCTAAAGGAAGCCTTCGTGATCAGTATGCCCCCTAGCATGAGGTCCCAGGGTAGGGCGAGTTACGTCCATGATGGGACGAGAGACAGAGATGTACCCATTCCGGAACAGGACTTCTGTTGAGCGCGCCCCTCGTGTTAAATTACTTACTTTAAGTATAATATAATAATATATAGCCATTAGCAGATGATTTTATCCAAAGGACTTACAGTACAGTGCATACATTTAGAATTGTGACCCCCAGCGGGAATCAAACCACAACCCTCTAACCAAGCTCTTACCATCTGAGCCCACACAGGACTACTTACTCCTCTTGACCCAGGGGAACATAAGTCGCAAAACACACACCATGCCAGACGGTTCCTTGCAAGCTTTCTCTCGGCTTCACCTTTGTTACATGAGGCTAATGGTAAATCAGTAAAAATTCATGCATTAAATATATAGTCAACCCATTGTCTTTCTTTCCAAGGAGATAAAATTATGCATTGTTTCAGGGTTGCCTCTAATTCGTATCTTTTTATTTCTGTCACAAAAATAATTATTCTCATATTTACTTTTTTTATTTTTACAATTCAATGTAATGTCGGATACATCCACTCGTATAAATGTGACACCAAAAAAACCTTCTTCAAAGTAATGTGAAAGGAGGGATTTAAGGTTTATTCGAGGCCGCTTGAAGGGGAACAATAACAGTTGCCTTTTAATCCCTTGGCATTTTTACTATTTTGTTGCATGACAACCTGGAACTTAAAATGTTTTTTATTGGATTTCATGTCATGGACAAGCACAAAATAAACTTTACTTGTTTGAAAAAATTCAAAAAAATAAATAATGGAAAAGTGGTGCGTGCATACAGTGGGGAAAAAAAGTATTTTAGTCAGCCCCAATTGTGCCAAAGTTCTCCCCACTAAAAAGATGAGAGAGGCCGTGTAATTTTCATCATAGGTACACGTCAAACTATGACAGACAAAGTGAGAAGAAAAAAATCCCGAAATCACATTTAGGATTTTTTAGGAATTTATTTGGCAAAAATATGGTGGAAAATAAGTATTTCGGTCAATAACAAAGTTTCTCAATACTGTTGTTATATAACCTTTGTTGGCAATGACACAGGTCAAACGTTTTCTGTAATCTCTTTCACAAGGTTTTTCCACACTGTTGCTGGTTTTGGGCCCATTACTCCATGCAGATCTCCTCTAAGCAGTGTGTTTTGGGGCTGTCGATGGGCAAACACGGACTGTCAACCCCTCCAGATTTTACTAGGGGGTTGAGATTCTGGAGACTGGCTAGGCCACTCCAGGACCTTGAATGCTTCTTACGAAGCCACTCCCTTCGTGGTTTGGGGATCATGTCATGCGGAAAGACCAGCCACGTTCATCTTCAATGCCCTTTGCCTGATGGAGGAGGTTTTCACTCAAAATCTCCCGATACATGGCCCATTCTTCTTTCCTTTACACGCATCAGTCGTCTGGTCCCTTTGCAGGAAAAACAGCCCCAAAGCATGATGTTTCCACCCCCATGATAACAGTAGGTATGGTGTTCTTTGCGAATGAAAATCAAGCATTCTTGTCCTCCATAACGACGAGTTGAGTTTTACCAAAAAGTATATTTTTGGTTTCATTGACCATAGACATTCTCCCAATCTCTTTCGGGATCATCCAATATGCACTCCAGCAAATCAGAAAGGGACGGCCCGGACATGTTGTACTGGCCTTAAGCAGGGGGACACGTCTGGCACTGCAGGATTTGGAGTCCATGGCGGGCATAGTGTGTTACTGATGGTGGCTGGGTTTTACTTTGGTCATAGTCTCATGCAGGTCATTCACAGGTCCCCCCGGTGGTTCGGGATTTTGCTCCACCGTTCTGTGATCATTTTGACCCCACGGGGTGAGATCTTGCGGTAGCCCAGATTGAGGGAGATTCAGTGGTCTTGTATGTCTTCCATTTCCTAATAATTGCTCCCACAGTTGATTTCTTAAAACCCAAGCTGCTTACCTTGCCAAGATTCAGGTCTTCCCAGACGTGTGACAAGTCTTTACAATTGGGTTTTCTGGTGTCCTTTGACAGCTCTTGGTCTTGGCCATAGTGGCGTTTGAGTGTGAATGTTTGAGGTTGTGGGACAGGTGTATGTTTATGATAACAAGTTCAAACGGGTGCCATTAATATAGGTAACGAGTGGAGGACAGAGGAGCTCTGTAAAGAAGAAGTTAAGGTTGTGAAAAAGGAGCCAGAAAATCTGCGTGTTGTGGTGACCAAATACTATTTTCCACCTAATTTGCAAAATAAAATTCAAAAAATCCTACAATGTTGATTTTCTGGATTTTTTCCCTCAATTTGTCTGTCATAGTTGACGGGTACCTATGATGAAAATACAGGCCTCTCTATCTTTTTAGAGTGGGAGAACTTGCACAATGGTGCTGACTAAATGCTTTTTCCCCACGGTATGTATTCACCCCCTTTGCATGAAGCCCCTAATGAAGGATCTCTACATTCAGAGTCATAAGTAGTTAAAGTCCACATGTGTTTTGTGCAATCTAGAGTGTCACATGATCTGTCACAGATCTCAGTATATAATACCCTGTTCTGAAAGGCCCCAGAGTTTCTGCGACAACCACTAATGCAAGGGGCACCACCAAGCAAGCGCGGGCACCATGAAGACCAAGGGAGCTCTCCAACAGGTCAGGGACAACGTGTGGAGTACGGATCAGGGTGGGTTCAAAAAAAAATATCAGAAACGTTGAAATCCCACGGAGCACCATAAAACCAGTATAAAAAAATTGAAAGAATATGGACCACCAACACCACCTGCCAAGGAGGGCGCCCAACAAAATCAGGGACAGCAAGGAGGGCATAGGGCATTAATCAGAGAGGCAACAAAGAAAAAAAGATAACCCTGAAGGAGCGCAAAGCTCCACAGCGGAGATTGGAGTTCTGTCCATAGGACCACTTTAAGCCGTTACACTCCACAGAGCTAGGCTTACGGAAGAGTGGCCAGAAAAAAGCCATTGCGTAAAGAAAAAATAAGGCCAAACACGTTTTGGTGTCGCCAAAAGCCATGTGGGAGATCCCCAAACATAGAAGAAAGGGTATTCTGGTCAGATGAAACTAAAATTGAGCTTTTTGGCCATCAAGGGAAAACATATGTCGGCGCAAAACCCAACAACTCTCATCACCCCGAGAACCATCCACAGTAAGCTAGTGTGGCAGCATAATGATGTGGGGATGTTTTTAATGGTAGGGAAACTGGTCAGAATTGAAGGAATGATGGATGGCGCTAAATACAGGGAAAGTCTTGAGGGAAATTTGGGGGCCCTAAAAGGATGGTTTTTTTATTTTTGTCCATGAAACGGGGTTCCTTTTTTATTTTAAAGCATTTGTTGTTTTTTTGGAAAATGAAACCCTTTTCCTGGGGTTTTTCTTTTTTATAATTTTAAAGATTAACGGTTTAAAAAGTTAAACGGCTTTTTTCCTTTCAAACCCAAACTGGCCCCTATTCACCATTTCCGACCAGACCCACGGGTCAAATAGAAAGGGGTTTCAGATAATTTGTTGTTAAAAAAAATAAAATTTAATCAAAAGGGAGTCTTTAAAAATTGGAATAGTTTTCCCCTTTGAAAAAAACCCCCAAAAAAAAACCCATAGAGTTAAAAGAAAAGAAAATAACTATTTACCCAAAAATCTTCGGTTCACCATAAACTTTGCCTAAACCCCAATTTATGAGAAAAAGATAAAGAAAGATTTCTTTTATTTATTGAAAACCCTTGTAATATTTCTAAAAAATTTTAAAAAATCCTTTCAAACTGACTTTTTAATAAAATCCCAAAACCAATACCGTCCCAATCCGCCTATTTTAAAGCATTGTGGGCCTTCTTGTGATCTAATTCCAAAGAATTTTCCTCAAAAGGGGCCCCTTGGAACTGTCCAACAAAGGGTGGGATTATGGGGTTGCAGTTTTTAACATTTAAGGAATTTTAACGTCGGAATTTTTTTTCCAACCGGGTTTCCTTGTTTTGGTCTCAAAATTCTTAAGGAAGGTTTATAAAGGGGGTTTTTTCCTTTTGATATTGGCCTTAGTTTTTTCCCTAAGGGTTTTTAACAAAATTAATTGCCATTTCTTTACAAAATTAATTTGGGGTTAAAGGGTTTTTTTTGCTACTTTAGTTAAAAAATTGCATTGGGTAGATTTAAAATTAAATTTTCCTTTTAATTTTGAAAAAATGAAAATTATGGGTTTAAAATTCTTTTGAACCCACTTTTTGAATCATTTTTGGGGTTTTAAACCAAAATGAATTTATATTTTTAAATTTACCAATTTTAAAAAAAAAATTTTTTGGTATTCTTTCGGCCATAATTAGGAACGGTAATTTAAATTTTCAGCCTTTTGGTTCCAATTAGGACCTGAAGAAAAAGAATATTTTGGTTATTTTATTGGGTTCTTACATTTGTTTAAAGTTTTTATTAATCCCAATAAACTTCCTTTGGGGCAGGTTACGTCTAATTTGGTTTCAACGTGACGGTTCTGAAATTTTCTGGGGCAAAAAG